TATCTTATTAATAGCGTTTCGTTTTGACTTCCTTTTTTACGAAAATAATGCATGAAAAACTGGAATTACTTTCAGAATTTTGAATTAAAAAGTAAAATTGGTTTGTTACGTCCTATGGTTAATTATATTTAAATATTTTGTTGAGAATAAATTTGGTGTCCTATGAGTATGAAACAAAGTGTGGGGGTTTGAGAGTCGATAGCTCAGTCGGTAGCGTCACGGACTTCGGGCCCAAGGCAGCGATGCCGTGAGTTCAGATCCTGGTCACTGCCACTAAAATTTATCAGTACAGTTCACCTTTGTACTGTACCGGCTCACCCCTTGCTTTGCTGGATACGTTAGACGCACAGATCTGTAGTCTATGTGGAAGGGCAAATGCAAGGTTAAAAGAGGCCGCCAACCTCTAAAAAGAAAACAAAAAAAGACAATCCAAGCGGGACGTATAAACCAACATTTAGCCATAAATATTGACCCCTTATACTTTTCCTAATGACATTACACACATTAAAATATACTACAATTATTTAATAAATAGCCTATAATATGTACTACCAGTGAAAATAAAACTACCGAATATGATTTGTTCGTCTCCTTAAGTAGCCCAGCTATGCAGACACTCATAATTCAGATATTTCGCTGTATTCTGATGAATTGAATGTTGAAAGTTTAAAAAAGGTTGTAACATACAACCGGAAGTGCGATAACAACGGAATTGTTTGACATATGACGAAGGATGGAGTTCACGAGGAATAAAGCGACCCAGTCAATTTATCTGGGAGATATATTGAGGACGATTACAAAGGAGGCATGGCCCTGTGTGTCGCTAAGCCCTTCTACAAGGCTGTAATGTTTTGGCCACACCCTTTAAACATTTGGAAATGTTTTAGTGATTTGTAATTGCAGTTGACATAGCTGGTAAATATAATAAACAATTTAACCATCAGTAATACAGAGTTTATATTCTTAAAACTTGTTTAGATTCGTAAAGATCCAAGCTTTTAATTTAATTTTAATCCTATCGTTTACTTATCGCCACGATGACATCCATTGACTTACTACAAGAGTTTATTTATTTGATATAGAATTGACGTCTTATGGGTCATTTTAGCGAATTTCTTATATTGGAAAGCTATTACCGTAGGTCTCGTGGTAAGACCTAGACCCGGGACCTATTTAATTTTTCGTTTTGAGGTCCCCAGAGGCCAAAAACTCCATCCCTTAAAATTCACATATATATATATACATATATATATTATTAAGCAAATCAAAATACCACAGTACCCTAGAAACAGTTTCTAGGGTACTGTGGTATTTTGATTTGCTTAATAACATTTAAAGTAGCCCTCATTGATGTATACAATAACAACATATATATATATATATATATATATATATATATATATGTCCGTTAGCGCGATAGCTCGAGCTAAAATGGTTCGATTTTGATTACATTTGGTACCAACGTGTAAACTTACGTTTATTCGAACGAGTTCACGAACCAGCATAGTTGGACTATGGGAAGGGGGTTTATGGGGTAAAAATCGTGTTTTCCCATTTTTGAAACTGAAAATACAAAATTTCACAATTTATTTCCAAACTATTTAGTAGAATTTAAAAAAAGAAATAATTTTGTATATTAAAGCGTTTCGTATGCCTAATGGTTACGAAGCTAATTTTAAAAAAAATTATAAAATATGCCCCTGTTATTCTTATGGAGAGTAAAAACACTGTTGTAATTTGCTTGTTTATGGAAAAATTTTAATCAAATTTGGCAATTTTGTTTATTTCATTCTAAACTATCAACATTTCAATAAAAGACAACTCAACACCTTCTATTTAGCAGCAAACGTAAGTACTCATTAAAATTAATACTATTTAAATAGGAAATCAATCTGACAGTTTTAAGGGAATATTTTAGTAGAAATCCAGCCCGGTAAATAGAAATTTGCGTAGCCTGCAGGTTTGCTGCAGCGGGCGGATATTCCTCATGGATCATACTTTAGGATATGTTTATGCCGACAACGCTTGAATGTGTTAATGTACTATTTTTACTTATTTACTTTTATTTTACACGCCTTAAATCACCAAAAACTGTATATTCAAGCTAAAATTTGTCTTATGATAGGATAGCCAGTGTAGTTCACAGAGTAAAATGTTCTTTAAAGGAAAGATTAACATTTATTGAACACCATCAAACTCGTGTTTCACCTGTTATAAAACACACATAAAGAGAGTTTTTTTTAAATCTCAAAATGAAAAATATGTGTTCATAGACATTGCGTATTTAAATTTCATACTTAATATTATTTCAACTTAACCTTAGTCCACTACATGTATTGGGAGGAAAGAAAGGCTTTGTAAATGCTGTAGACATTGAAAGGGTCAAATAACAAACACCGCAATACTTCCGAAAGAAAGTAACTCGGGAAAATGGTCTGAGGAACAAGTTAATACTTGTCTTACTGGGCTTAACTATAATCTCCCCCCCAGATTGGACTTGTGTCTTCCTTCAAAACACCCAATAAACTCGATCTGTACACGATTCTCATATTGGTCTGTTATAATATTGTGGTTGTGTTATATAACACGGACAACAAAATAGAAGAATTAATTATTTTGTATTTTTGGTCTATCACAACTTAGTACTTTAATACTTAAGACTTTAAAACTGTACTTAGTAAATTATTTGTAACTTTACCTCTAATTTGCGATGGGTTGTGAGCCTAAAACAGTTTTCTCTAGCTGCTACAAAACAGCTATAAAAATCAATGTTTTCAATGGCCAACCAAAATAGAAAATCAAAATAAATGTAATGGTTTTTTTAATATAGCCTAGTTATTTATGAAAAAATAAAATGTTTATGAAATTTTATGAAATTAGACTTTTACGTGTTTTACCAACTCATGTAACAGTTGAAACTCAATTAATTTCTTTTGTTAAACGTAAAAACACCAAATATTCACATTTTAATGGACCATAGAATAAACGTTGACTGTTTGAGCACCTACCAAATTTTCTAAATGACTAATTTTACCGTTTGTTCCAAAAATGTCAAGATGTTTATTAATTATACTTTTAAGATCACGGTCAAAATGGTCAATAACAATAGAATGTTTTTTTTTTTTTTTTTTTATTTAAATCGCAATAAATATGAGCGTTAGAAATATGAACGTTTCTTAAACCTTCGGATGTATATACGGAAGTCAAAAAGGGCTTAGTGACATTGTTGAGAACTCCATATTCTCGCTATAAAATAAATAAATATTTCAAAATTGTACCAAAGGGTTTTATTTGTATTTTATGATCAGCGGGAACAAAGGACAGTTAACGTTACTACTTCGTACATGTAACTTCTAAAAAGATTACATCAAAAACGATACAAAATTTAAAGTATTTCGCCGAAAACCAGATAAACACACACAATAATCTATTGAAAATTAATTAAGTTTTGCCTTCCTTTTCAAAAAAGGTAGAGATATATTGTTGCAAAGAAAACAAGAAATATGTAGACACATTTCTAATTGTAGGCTATTAATATAAACATTAAGTAAGTTATTGAAAAAATGTGTATTAGTTTTAGTATGGGAAATAATGTTGTGTGACATGGTTGTGACTGTAATCACAAAAAGGGCTTCAGGATTATTTAGAGGGATTATTTTAATCCTTTCATCAAGAGAAGCTTATTTTATGTGTTATTTTACTCGAAAATATTTTCTGTTGAATGTAAAATTTTTAAGGTAAAAGTGTTTTTAAAGGTAGGTTGAAAAATTAAAGCTTGAATTAGGATTGATTTTGATACATTGAAAGTTACTTGAGTAAAATACTTGCATAAATGATGTTTTATTGAACAAATTAAATTTTCGATAGACACATTGTTAATAATTACAATTATACGTTTACCTATTTGCCTTTGCTGTATATATTGTTGCTATGACAGATTCCCATAATTTGTTTTTTCACAAATATTCCAATTGTTTTGTACAAACCCTCGGTAAGTTTGGCAAAAATGTCAACCGTTATTTCGTGAGGCAGCAACGAAATTAGCACCATAGTCGATCCCAAAGATATTTGCCCCAATCCCTTCAATTGTAAAGACAAATTAGCTATTAGTTAATAATAAGTTCGGGACGTAGTATCTCCAAAAAATCTTTTTGCGGAGAAACTTGGAGATGAGCAGATAAGCTCCTCACTAAATTCCACAATGTAGGCTAATATTCAAATAATGAATGGTGCAGTTTTGAATTTTTATACAAACATGGGCAGTTTAGGTAGGGAAATTATTAGGTAAATTATGAGTTAGGTTGGTATCAATGTATTCTTTGGCTCAAATAGTTTTGCTACACTGTCTTGGAAAACAGCTGTTCCATTGTTGTCGTTAGCGTTCGCAGTTAACTCAAAAATGTTAATTATGACCTAAAACATGTTTTATGATCAAGAGAAAGAAAAGGGCGTTGTTAAGTACATTTTAGTCAGATTTTGAGTGAAGACAAATTTTAAACAAAGCTGTTAAAAAAAAGATCAGACGTTGGAGTAAACGGCTCGTAGAAACATTATCAGTGCAAAAACTTTAGACTTCTGGGAGACTACTTGTATTAGAAGTAACTATTGAAAACACAAGAAAGTTTTAATTTAGAAGTATAGGTGAATTTTTCCTTTAGGAATGCGTAAAAAACATCGAGTACTCCAATTGGATTTGTGATGTTGCTTATTTAAAGAAAAGGATTTATGAAGTAGTCTCATCGGTAGCAAGAGCGTGTGTTGCACAGCATTTGGGCCGAGATCGACAATTGGTTAAATGTCTGTATATCACTCAACGGTGGACATACAGAATCGTATTAAATGTATCACTAAAATACCCTTTTAAATGAGGAAAAAAATACTTTTACCGTGAACCCGTTTTTACGGCTATCTTTTCTTTTGCATTTAGAACAGCACAAATTATTAAGGAAACCCTGTATAAGTGATAACCAAGGACATATTCTGAGCAGCGTATGTATCAGGTGGGGCCAGATCTGAGGGGGTCCATGCTGCCTCTGACACAAGCCCTGTTGAGTCTGCAGGACCACAGACCTGTTAGCCCTGAAGAGCTACAACTAGCCCTAACCAACGTACAGGTAGGGCCTATACGAGTGTGGCTGCTTCCTAACTCTTAACACCATCTTGTAGATGTCTTAGTAGCACAGTTTTGAATTATTTTGAAAACTATTTTATCTTCTGGATGAAACTTCTTTTAAGGTATTTTCAGGTAGAATAAGGTGATCGCGACTTCAATATAGTCTTCGGAGTTACATGTATTTACAGGTAATTCAAGATCACGACATTTCGGCCTTGTAGCAGATGGCCATCTACAGAGCAGTAACGAAGAACTATGGAGCACTGGGTGGGTTTTTATTGCACTGAAGATGGCTAAATGCAACGAGGTCACATCGTATCTGGAATTACCTGGAATATAACACGGTGTTAATTAGAAAACCACAATGAAGTGGTAAGTGTATTCACAGAAGCCTTACTAGGGTTACTTGGTGTAATATAATATCCTTTTAGAATGAAGGAACAAGACTAGGAGTACACAAAAGTTGTATACCAATAATATTCTTTAGATTAATTTGAATAAAAACGTGGTATGTATTTATCGTGTGACACCGGTTACGAAGCCTTTGTAGTTTGAAGTTCTATGACTGGGTGAATTCATAGAAATATTTAGAAATTACCAGGGGGTTTAAAAGTTAATAAAGTACTGTCAGGTGATGGTTAATAGTTTAAAAATCTAAGGTGTTCTTCAGATGAACACTAATCTCTTTTTATTATCCCTTAGGTTGTGAGTGGTTTTAAAAGGAAAATGCTAACCTAATGGTTAAATGGATATTCATAACCAACCGGACATTCAACTAAAACTGAACTACTAGATTTTAAACTACTGGTTGCAAAAAAAGGGACACTAATAAATACTAGTGCATAAATCTTAATATTTCTATTCTTTCGTATTTTTTTACATATTTATTTTTAAGTAAAAATTTAGTCCAGAAGCAAAAAATTATAAAGAAAATTTAAAAACTTTGGACCTGTTTTTACAAAGATAAATCTATAAACGATTTTGACAAAACTCTAGGTTTTAAGTGAAACAGAATTGGTTATTCTAACTTTGAAAACGCTCTAATAATAAAGAAAAAAAGAAAAAATAGGCCATTTGGTTTTTTTGTAACCAAGCGTGAGGAAATGTTTATTAAAATGTCATTATTATTATCTGATACAACCACGTAATTTGAGTTCACTTTGAGAAATAATTATTTCATCTTTCTAAATTAATATAGATTAGGTTTCTTAGGGGAAGAAAACTGCCTCTCTATGATACACGTTTTTTACACCTATTGGTACAGTAAATTTTGCAATATACAAAAATTTAAAAACATTGCAATTTTTTGACATCAATTACCATTTAGAACCTTGTAAGGTCAACATCGTAGGTGAAAAAACTATTAAATTTTTTCTGTTTGATGTTTTATTACTATTGTTTTTGTTTAATTTATTTTCTGTGTGAATAATAACTTTTGACGTATTTTTTTGTAATTTATTGCATGTGAATGATAAAATGTTATGCTTGGCAATCGAAATGAAAATTATCTGGAGATTGCGGCCTAACTTATGAATACGGTTTAAGATTTACACTATATCATGTAAACACCAGGATTATTGTATTTATTTAGTTTAATTTATATAACTTTTGTCTTAATACTCAATAAACGATAAGAAAAATAAATTTCTCCCATGTGTTACCGTAGTAGTTTTTTATATATATATCACATAATAATAAATGTACTTAATAAATGTATAAATAGTTATGTAGGACCTTTATAAGCACCCAATCATACGTTAAAGAGGTAAGTGCTGCAGCCTTTGGTAGATATGTTGAACTAAATGAGCGATTCTCCCCTTTGTAGTTCGGCGGAGTGCCGCTACACCGCATCTCTCTCGCTAGTTGTCAACTATTGATTTCGATAGCGTCAACGCCAATCTTGGACGCAGCTCTAGAAATAGTCATCACTAGGATGTCTAAATTTATTTCTAACCAATAAGATTTCAAATCGTGTCTTGATTTAAATACTCTACAATCAACATTCAGTATCATTTTTCGTTGAATTTTATCCCTGTACCATATTTTATTGAGTTACCTAATCAATGTACTTATCGTGTTTTTAAAATTGAGTTTGAGTTATAGTGAGTAATTATTTCAAAACATGATAATATTTTTTTGTATATTTTATTTAAATAGTGAACAGTTTTATAGTTGAAAAAGCGACAAATCGTCAGTTAGTTGGTAAATGAATTGTTCATTGTTCATGTAGGTGTCAATTAATCTCTTTGTTATAACTTGGACGAAGTTATTATGTAGTTTTACGATCATTGATCGTACTATTGTTTTTCTATTTTCTTTCATTCAACTACAATTTATTTTTGTTGTTCAAAGGTTTATTGCGGACATTTTCCATCACGAAAGTAAAAAACAATACACAACGTTTCGGGATCTGGAATCTGATCCCGTCTTCAGGTGAAAAAAACTTAACTAACACATTAAAACTAACAATACACAAACGCCCAACCTAAGTTGGAATACACTACAGAGGGTAGTAGTCAAAAAATATGTACTGTATAGCAGTCAAGTCATGATCCAACATGCAATTATTAACAAATCACAAAACACTATAATCTATAAAAGGTTTAACGTAAAAACTCACACAATGGAACACTAAACAATACAATTTACAAATAATGGACAATACAATTTACAATACAATTTAATGGAGTACAATTTATTCTATAAAATAATTTATATTAGGATTTTTACATTACAATATTTCAGTTTGTCAGATTGTTCGAAACAAATAAAGTTAGTCACGACAATCAGCTAAAATTTTGACTATGTGTTAACATAAGGTCCTCATATCGTAACCATATATACTTTAATAATTTTGTTTAGCGAATGCAACAAAAACACTGTAATATCCGTATTTGATGTTAACAGTTGGGTTGATCTGGTGTTAGCTGCTGGTGTGATTAGTACTCTTGTTCCAATCGATTGCTCTTTATATAGGGTGATTGATATAAGTGTGCCAGCTGTTTTATTCGAAAACTATAAGAGATATCAAAAAAGTTACACAGTAAGTGCCTTGGATTTTTTTATTATAGTAAAGTCGTAAAAGAAAAAAACATTTCAGCCACCATTTTCCAATATGGCCGCCAACTTTGATTTTTCTAATGTAACACTCTGTATATAATGATGTATTCCGCTAGAAAATGTAATTTTAAGGCAATTTTATTCATGTGTTTTTTTTGTCATAAACGTAACCGTTTCAAAGATAATAATGGTTAAAGTTTTGAGATTTCGGCAAGGGTTTTTATAAAGGCCTAAGCAAGCATGCCAGCTGTTTTATTGGAAATTGCACATCTTTAACCATTATTATCTTTGAAACAGTTAGGTTTATGAAAAAAACACAAGAGTAAAATTGTCTTAAAATTACATTTTCTACCGGAATACATCATAAAATACAGAGTGTTCTATAAGAACAATCAAAGTTGGCAGCCATATTGGAAAAATGGCGTCTAAAATATTTTTTTTACTTGACTAAAAAAAAACTTAAAAAACTTTAAAAATAAAAACTCATTTAACTTAGCATTTGACTTTTTTTATATATCTTATAGTTTTCGAATAAAACAGCTGGCACACTTATATCAATCACCCTGTAATTTAGTAGAATTAAAATCCTCGGTACTCTATCACATTTTAATGTGCCACGGATGCTAAAACGTAAAACGTAAAAGATGTTGTCTAAGGCCAGTTGCTTCTATTGACCCTAACAATCAAATTCTCAATAATAGATTACGAGCAAATGAATGTAGTTAAAAGCGGTTTGCAGCAGCATGAAATCATGTTAGTTAAGAGTAGTTAGTCTTTTCTAGCATTAGTTAGCCATTACACTACCAATGCCAATATCACCTTATCATTGTGCCAAATCTGAGATGGTATATTGCCAAACTAGGAATAAACCTTACACTGTTCTCTCATTGGCCTAAAAACAGACAAAGTACAATCATTGACTTTACACAGATTGACTTCCCATGTAATGTAAAAATTTGAAGGCAAGGACACGTGGTGCAATCTGTTGAGATGGTCACCAACTAATGTCAATATATTGTGTCAAGTGAAAAATCAATCAGCTGTTTGCTCCCAATACACTAGTAAACTCTGGTGAGATGATCCTGAACTTCATCTATTTTATTTGCTTCAAACTTTCGTATCACATGGGAAGTCTATTCTGTGTTTACTCAATGGTACAACTAAATTATCACACCGTATACATTGGCGAAAAACTTTAAATTTAAATCATTAATTATGGAGCGTGGTTAAAATACTTGTGTTACAATAAGATATGTAAATAATTTGGTTATAGGATATGAAATCACAAGGTATGTTTGTTTTCTAAATGTGTTGCAAACACTACTAGTCTGCGTTTACTAACAAAATTGCGTTCACAAAAGCATCCACAAAATTGAGCGGAGTTATCAGAGCATTGCTTTGCCATTATCGTCCACAATCAAGCATCACAATTGCTTTATTAACCACAATTTTAAATGGAGGCTATATTTGTATAGAGACAAATAAGTTGTGTGATTAAAATAGTTACGTAGTGCGTCCTAGTGAAGTTAAGTAAAAAGCGTTAGTTTGTAGTTTCTCAATGTTCTTGATAGAATTTTGTTACATGGCCGTTAAATATTTTTCCATTCAAACGATACTCTCGTAGACCTAAAACAGACTTAACTGCAGCATTGAGCATTTACACTTGAGTCAAGTCTTTTTCCTGGGGTGGCACATCTCCTGGATCCACGTGGTTAACATTTGTAACAATATTTGGATCTCTAACACAAATTGTACACACAAAATTATTTCTAAGCCATCTATAAGCGTTTGCTTGACAACTAATTATGGTAACATATTCCATAGATTGAAGGAAATAATTTAATTTGTATTTACCAAAGGTTTTGAGAAAAAAAATTAAACAAAACATTGGTTTTGAATGCCTTTTTGTTGCTTGCCTACTTAAGCAAACTCCTTTTTCAG